TGTAAAGTCAATGTACTTGTGTTACGCAAACATGCCCACAATACATGTATATATGTAATTATATTTGCGCTTCCATACGTAATTACGATACATCTTTTGTAATATATGCACTCATATGCGCACATATATAATGTTGAAGGCAAAAATAAAAAAAAATTTAATTTACATACGAAAATCAAATTTAAAAATTTTTGTATGATTGTATTAGAGTGTCTCTCTGCAACAAATACATAATTGGAATTTTACTACAAACTTCTTACTCCATAAAAATAATGAAACAACAATAAAAGTTGTGAAGGGTATGCCAATGCGGGTTAGCTGATATATTCTCATACCGATCGTTGCAGAATGGGAGAATATTGTAGTTTTTGTTTCTATCTACCTGTCTCCGCCTTTCATTTCGTTTCCGGTTTTAACAATATGTTGAAACTATGTAAGAGAGTGTACGAAAGAAGAATTGTAAAAAAAAAAATTTAGATACCTTTTATACCATAGTTGTAGACATCACAGATGTTGATATAAAATTATATCTTTGGCGTAAGCGAAAGTCCGAAGCGGAAGCACACTTAAACGGTCGAATGCCAAACTAATAGAAAGAGAAAAGGATTTGCTTGAAGTAAAGCATGGGTAAGTGTGCTTGATTGAGAAAACTTTAATACGGTCTAATGTATTCTTTAAAGCATGACTTGGTCTTAGTTGAATATGATTAAATAAGTTTTGAAATAATTTTTCAATTTCAAAACTTCAGTTCATTTGGTGATACCCTCTATAACATGCATTAATATGCTGATACAAATGTATGGTTATGCGTCTATTGATTAACTTCTTTGAACTGACTCCATTTCTCAATATCAATGTGGTTGTGTATGCATTTTACGACCGAGGCATAGTAAAGACGCAATAAGAGTCTGCCAATTTGCGCTATTGAATAATAAACAGAAATTTAGATTATTTGTCTCTGGTCTCTGGTTTGCTTCTTTTTCTTTTTTTTTTTTTTATATTTTTTTTTATTACATTTCAATGCATCCTCCTGTTTACGTACACTTGCTTTCCCTGCATGCAGTCCTCTTTATGTCCATTTGGTTTGTGTAAATATAGTATTTTCTTGCTTCGCTCTCGTTTTCTTGTTGCATTTCACTATAAAAATGCAATTGGATGCCTGCATTTGTTTATTATTGCTTGATAATGTTAATAACTTTCGCAGTTTTTTTTTTTTCATAGTCTGCGTCTGTTTACATATCTAAACGTCAGCGGGCTTGCATATATGTGCTAATAATATAAATAAATAAATATTTTTCTCTGCCAATTTTTTTATAGAGAGATTTTTAAAGAGTTTTTGTAAAAGTTTTGCAAACTTTTTTAAAACCTTTGCTAAAAGTAAAATTGAAGTATTATTATAGTCTCAAATTTTAAGAACCCTTAGGGAAGGAAGCGCGGATAGGTTGTAAAATCTGAATATAGTTTCGTTCACAATTCGTGATATACAGTAAAAGTAAAGTCGAACGTAATCAGAATTACATAACTGGATTATATTATACTCTATTCCACCTGCGCATACAGAGAGCATATTAAGTTTCTTGCAATATATATAATACTTAGAAGAGCTAGAAATGAGCCCACCTTTTATTATATCACGCGATTCAGATTCCTTTTCTGAGTCGATATAAACTTGTCTGTCTGTCTGTTTGATGACTGTTCATACATCGAATCTACAGGTCACAATTTTTGAGATGTTTTGATGAGGCTCTGTACACCGGCATGTTTTTGGCTGAAGAATGAACGCTGATTGAAAATAGTTCGGATCGGAGCCCTTTTTCGATCAATTTCTATTTATATATTTATTTATATATATATATATATGCTATACAAGTTTTTACTTATTTTATCTATGATTCGTTATTGCAAATAGATAATAGTCTTCGAATTTTCTCTTATTAGAAATATATTTACAAACAACCATTTTAGCAGGTTAAAAACTTCAATTTTCTTCTTTAAATGATGGGCTAGCTTCTAACTAAGTGGACGTTACCAAAGATAACATAATTAATAGGTTTAAAACAGATACTTTGTGGATGAGTGTCATATATCTCCGTCAGGTACATATAGATGGCCATAGATGGTCCTAATAGCACGTGTAGAGGACATTCATGACTAAAGTTGTTTTCTTTTTATTGGTTGGAGTTCTGCCAACGATCAGCACTCGTAACTTTAGTACATGTCGTAACGCAGGGATACCAGATTTTCTTCGCCCGAACGATATAAAAGAAAGTCTTTCTTGCGTCCTATGCGCGACTGAGTCTCTTTGGCAGGAAGGCTGTATTCTGCGTTCGTTACGGCTACAAGACTTTCATCTATTATCAGCAGTTAAAGTCGACTACAAGGGTCAATGCCAAACACTATCAACAAAAATTAGTCAAGTAGAACCATTTGCCGTTCGTATATTCACATGATGTCCATCCAGTGAAATTGATTTCCGATACGTTGGAAGAACTCAACTAGGAAGTGCTAGCCCCAGCGGCTTACTCACCAAACCTAACTTTTTGCGATTATCGCTTGTTCAACCCGAGAGATCGTGCAGTTGCTGAGCGTGTGTTTCACTTCTGGCGAAAATGTGTGAAATTGACTCAACAACCTGTTTGCCTCATCAGACCCATATATTAAAATTCCAGCTTCATCTGTCCGTATCGGCCAAATGCATTAATTATTTTAGTTATCCAAGTCATGCTAATGATCAGGTAATTAACTCAACGCGTTCTAAAAACTGATTAATCAAAATTTTAGTTTTGCATACATATATACGCACACATGTTCAGATGAAAAAAGACTTTTAAATCGATTGTATGTGTGATACATACGGTTTGCCTGCAGTGTTTAGTGGATCTATAAATGAACTAAAGTGTTTACAATGGTTATCTTCATCTATGCGAGAAGGATATGAAAAACAAATGAAACAATTCTTCTAAGCATTGCCTGCAAGTGTATGTCCTCACTTTGTAACATCTCATAAAATATGTACGCTTTCATTCATTGTTTGAATTTGACAGCGTCTCGCTTTGCCTGTCCATGACTCTATTATCGGAATACATCTGACGAAAGCATGCTTCAAGTACATGAAAACTATGTATAAAAATTTTCTAAAATGTTTTCATAATTAAATCTAATAATTTTGCTTTTTTTTTATTGTTACTCATATGTAAGAGGCGGTTTTCAATTAAAGCTGAACATAATCGTATCGCATAACAATCACTTTTCACAATTAATGAAATAATAATAATTAATAAAACTTTTCTGAAATATAAACTTTATGATTTTGTATAAAACAACTATCAACAACTAGTAACGTCCTCTACCAATGTGGTACGTCAGCCCGTATCTCCATTTATTCATTATTTATTTACTATTTCAGAGGTTGTTGAAATATTTCATTACATACTTATTAAGTCATTTGTTTAAACATATATAGTAAAATAATGAAGGAAATAATTAAATAAGCGTAAAAAGAAATACCGCGAATCAGAAGTCGTATGAATTGTTTACTAAAACTTTATTTATACATTAGAGGTAATTATTTTGAATGATACAAAATAATCTTCAAAGAAAAAATTAGTTTATAAACTATAAAAAAATAAGTGGAAAAATTAAATGAAATATTATTAAAAAAAAAAACCAAAAAATTCCAAAAAGGTTAGAGAATATTTTTCGAAGTCACTTTCGATGAAAAACATGCAACAAAGGCAGTGTTCACCATGCGAATGGAGTTTTTCAGGCGAATTTCCGAGCAAAAAAAGTAGGAAGGAAGATAGGTAGCTAAAGATGCTCTCCCCACACCACAGCGATTCTACTCTCCATCTCTATAGACTTTACTCAATATCGGAAACCGTAATCCGGTTGCTGTTTGCGTAGAAACTACATGCCGTACGACTTTGCCGACGCTTTTCGGACCAATTTCAAGCCTCAGTCCACCTGAACCATAGGTGTTACGCTTTTGTCTCTAATCTTGCTCGATCACCACCTTACCAAAAAAAAATCCATAGTATAGAAAATTTGCAAACATTCCCTGAGAAGTTGGTCTTCAAAAAAGAAAAGGGATAAACCAATAATTACGAGGGGATATTAAATGATTAATCCATTCTTCCACAAGAAAATAAAAATTCATTAAAAAATAAGAAGACCATTGTCGGCCCTGGCCCTATTAACAAGCACGCTACAACGTCCGACTATTATTCATATAACGACTTTTGAAAATAAGGCCTTATAAAGGAAGTGCCCGAAAAAGTGATGCGATCCGAAACATTTTCAATAGTATTCGTTCTTAGGCCAAAAGATATCAGAGCGTCAAATTTCATCAAGGTATCTCAAAAATTGTTGCGTAAGATTTAAAATTAATCAGAAAGTCATTTTGAACCGATCGGTAAAATAAAAGTTTTCTCTATCTCAAGTACTTCTGAGTATTGCGTACGCCCGCATAAACTTTATAAACCCTTGCACTACAAATGGTATAGGCTGTAACGATTTATGCACAAAATACGTATTGTTCATGTTGACATCATTTGCTAAGTAGATGTTCTATGTTGAAAGCTGCAATTAACCATTGTTCAAGCTTGAAAGCCACACCGAAGCCCATCTGCTCATTTGCAAATTGTTGTATAGGATTTCCTCCTTTCGTAATACTTTCTCTTTCACTATGGATTTCAATAGCCTTTAAATCTACTTTGGTAAAAGTTAAGTCAATGTGAGATATTCAATACTTCATCCCTTTTATAAAACAACTCTGACAAATTTACTCCAAAATGCTATTCGTGTACGAATATAATAATACATCTATTTAAAACCTGTACCCGTATTCGGATGAATGATGAAAATGTAAAAGCAATTTCAAATTAAATTGCTTATGCACTTCTTTTATTGCTTTGACTGTGAATTCTTGAATTAACGTAATGGAAATGAAGATAATTGAAAGCACACTTCTCTTCGTTCCAGTTTAGTTCCAGTTTACTTACTGATTGTGCCCGTTGTGCATCCATTTTCACCCATTTGATCTAAAAGTTCCTTTGCAAGGATAGGCGGGTGGATATGATTAAAACAACTTCGAATGCCAGGCGAATTATTAACAAACGCACACATCTTACTACCGAAATTATTAAATCATTCAATTATAATTATAAAATTTTAAAATTATTTATTGTAATTTCTGGTATCACAACAAAACAACTCCTAATTATTGCGGTCTAAAGGGAAGTAGATTTATTCTTGTGAAATTTCACGTATACACTGCTAGTTATTCACAAGGAGCACAACCGCACCTAAAAAAAAAAAAAAAAATTATAGAAACATAGTTCCCATCATTCATGCTTTATAAAAATGTTGCAAACAAAAACAAAAAAAAAAAAGAAAGAAAAAACAATATTCTCATAAACAACAACAAAAGTTAAGTGTAAAATTTAATTAAAAAAAAAAAAAGAAAAAACCTAATATTTAATTTATTTAAGCACAGGTCTACAATATTAACAAAACCCACCCAAAGCGTATTCGTCCACGTAAAACGAACTGACAGGTACAAACTAAAATCAAAAGTTAGTCAACAATAAAATCCATAGTTATCCTACAATCTTAGTACGCGGCATACGGGTTTTTAGTTTACCACATCAACAATTTGGTTTGAAAAGAAGTTTACATAGAAAATGTAAATGAAAAACACATCCACTAATAGAAAGATAAGAATAGTAGTTCAATACAAATAAAAACATTATAATTGGGCAAAGCCGCTTTTAGATACCCTTCACGATTTCGCCTAATACAATTATTCATCGCTTTTAGTAATAACACAACCACATATTACACATAATTTTTATGCAAAGGTATACACTTCCTATGAAAGCCTGCTTATTAAATGAATCCTTATTTCGGTTGGTGTTCAAAAATAGATTTACGTGGTTCAAATTCGTTAAAGTTGATTTTCTATGTCAATATTGTGAAATCTATAATTTTTTGATATATAAAAAGACAGTTTCCGTAGGTAAGCTTGTATGGGAGAGGTTTTAAAAAATTGCCCCATCTGAACCAAATTTTTTATACCAATTCATTATGTTCAAATATTATTACAGAGCGAGTTTTGCTAAGAAATTTTGAAGATTACAAGATTTTTACAGACAACGACTTTTCAAAATATCGTTTCGCGTTGAGCAATCGGCCCAAATCATTTTCATTAGCGTTTGTCTTTGGGACGAAGCACGTCACTGTAACAAATTTCATGAATATGTCTTAAAAATTAAGACCTGTCTTTCAACACAAATCTACATAGACGACATCAGACGGGTAAACAGACGGGCAGACAGGATCAAATCGATTGAGAAAATGATTCTAATTCGATCGGTATAATCGTTATAGTCGGTTCTATCTTACGCCTTTGTGTCTGTTGCGTACGTCCGCATAAACTTAGCATATTCCGCTAGACAAGTCGTGTAAGGTACAATAATCGACATTGCACAATATTTCGTTCTCGACCTCACCATTTGTACGCAAGGCGTATACAATCAATTCGCTTACTGACGGTGGTGTACGGTTCACATGGTTAAACTCGAAGTTTCCGAATAATTTACTTTAGAGCAAAAAAAAAAATAAATAAATAAACAATTCATTTCTGAGCACCGTAATAGAATTGTTGCAAGAAAGACTAGAATCCCCCCATTGGTGGTTTGAGTAATCGTAACTAAAAATGCAGTGATTTGAAACTTAAAGACAAAAACAAATAATGGTTTTTTTTATTCTTTCTTTCCATATTTATGCGCGCCGATTGAAATAGACATACGATATATGAATGCATAAATGCAATATCAATAATAAAAAAATAATACAATAATACAATAATACACATTAACAATTCTATAAATGAGGTTGTTGCTTACTCTACTAACGTACGGTTAAGTCTGACTAAATGTCTGCAATGAATTGAAATGGAAAAATAAAAAATGCAGTGAAATAACGACTGATTGTCTTGAAAAAAAAAAAGAAAAAAAAAAAAAAAAAAAAAAAAAAAATTAATTAAAAAAACGATTTATTTTTTTTAAAAAAAAAAAAAAAAAAAAAAAAAAAACCATAATGAGCTTTAGTTATTATACCGGTTGACTTTTGTTTAAAACAAAGAGAGGAAGGAAAAAACAAGCTTATGCACAAATGTTGCTCAGACAGCATGGTACGGGGCATGTACAAAATGAAAAAGAAGAAATTATGATAAAAACCCAGTGACACCAATGATGACTTAAAAAAAATTGACTGGAAATATATAATGTGCTTACGCATAGTCGGGGCGCATCGAATTGATCAGTCGATATGTAATTTAATTATGAAATTAAACTAAAAGAAAAAATAGATTAAAGCGGTAGTTTTTAGAAGTAAGATGTTGGACACACTCTTCTACTATCACTAGTTTTGTCCTGGTCGTCGTACATTCTGCTTAAGGCATACATACCCTTGCAAACATAAAAGCTTAAGCGAAAGCCGAAATTCGATGCCTATGTTCTTAGGCTGAGTTTAGAGAAAGCTTGAGAATGCATGATACATGCGCAAGAACAAACTAAAGAATGCAGAACAAAGAGAATTACAAAAGTTGGTTATACAATGCTTTAGGCAAGACAAAGACAAAAAGCCAAATATCCTTATCGCTAAGCCTTCGTCGTCGAAAGTCAAAAAAAGTCGATCTACTCAGTGTTAATAAAAGCTCATCGCAAATCGTAGAGCGTCATCGTTCATAAGATGATCGGATTTTCAGCGCGAGAGAATAGAATTCATAATAAGAACAAGGCTATTGCCTTGGAACTTTCCAGAGTGAAGCACGTGTCGAGAAGATCTTCCAAAATGTTTTTTTTTTGCGATTATGTCGAGCAAGGTTGACCGCATTCATTGGTTTATGGAACACCGTTAGGAACATATGAAAACATGTTCCTAATGGAAAGAAAAAAGCTGGTTAACCGCTTAGCAACAGAAACGACATTAAGAGAGGTCGGCGGAATTTTCTTTTGCATTTTACAATCGTATTAACATGAAAGTCTTTCGAAGAGAGATGTGGAAAATCAATTAGAAGATGTTGTGTCGATAGGTTTTGCTTGGGCCGTGAAAATTTATCAGCGGATCACGCGAACTTCTCAACGATTCGTACCAATACCCGCAGCACTAAGATAACTAAGAGAAATTAGCTTCGGGTTAGGATTATCCCTCAATAGTGAAATAATCGAACTATCTAAACTTGGGGCCCGAAAGTATTTTAATGAGCCAACTGTCACACTCGCAGTTATCAAAACTGTGACAGTGGACTTGGCTTAAAGCTACTATAAGTTCGTTAGTTTCTGTCAACACATAATGGTAAACACGTTTATAGTCAAACGTAAGCTACGTAAGTAAGGGAGATATGGTTTCATCTGATGGATATCGGAGGCTTGTTTACATTTTTTCAGTTTCGCCAGAGCTTTGATAAAAACATTTTTCTTTTAGAAAAAAAAGGAATCGAAAAATTGCGAAAATTTTTCATGAATTGCTCAGTTGACCCCGGTTGGAACGAGTTATTGGACAATCAGTTGATTGCCGATAAAACATCGTCTTACTCATCATCAATCGTACATTAATGTGATACGAAATTTACCTTTTGACTACGTGCTGCCAATGTAGCTTTGGCCGGAGTAAGTTTTTATTATTTCTTGCAGCCTTCCGATCCCTGCACACGCACTTATCACACAAACCTATATTACGACGAAGAACTTCCTGTTAAGCTTTACTATGTAAGATGTGCTAAACTTTATATTTTACTCTTCGAATATATTATTTCTTTATATACGTTAGCATTCATGATGTTATGATGCATTCAGAAAGAAAATGGGTTGCATTGATATAGGAAAAAAGCTTTGAAGTGTCATACTAACATATTATGTTGTAGTTACGAAATAGGATGCTTTCTCTTACGTAGCATGCACAGTTTTGAACATAGCCACATATTCTCAATGACTTTGATTTGAAATGCATTTATTACAAATAAAATAGAAGCAAGTAGGGGGCATCGATATATTCGGTCTAAGCTACATTTAACTTGTTCATTATTATTAATTTCACAAACTTAATATGATTTGCTCAAGTTTCTTAGGAAATGACATTTAAGAATATGAATTTGATCTTTACTTTACGATTTCTTGAGCTCACGTTACTCGTGGTGGTTTTTTAAGTCAATTAAGCTGACTTTCTTAATTGCTTTTAAACAAAAAAAAAAAAGACATCAAGAAAAGAAATCAGTTATTTTATTACGTTATATAATATCACTCTACAAAACTGTTAACTCTTCAGAATGACAAACTTCACTTTATACCTTTGGGAGCAACTCATTGTATTGTACCGAGGAACATTACGGCTCATATCGTTGTTTCGTGTAAAAAGTTTAATTGACGAGAAAATAAAATCCGTTATTCGGTTTTTATTATGTAAATAATGAAAATTCGATGGCATATCATAGCATATTGCATGTTTTACATATTAGGTTGGGGAGAAAGTTTTATCGTATTTTATATACAATATCTGAATTTGATCATCCTTTTCAGCCGAATGGTGGATACGAAGTTGCTTGGCAATTGTAAAGTGGTTAGGTGTGGGTTACTCTCCAACAGGGACAGCAAAATGTCGTTATCGCCCAGATTAACAAACCCTATTGAGATTGAAATTTTCGAAAAGAAATTTGGCAAACCTTCTTTGACAAGTCCGAACTTCTCTTCCCAACCTGTCAAATAGAACTTTCGGGAACTTACACCGAATGCAATGTCTTAAATGCACTTTACCCAATGCGATCTTGTGCGCTCTGCCCTTCCTAACTAGCTGATGGGATGGATATTGAAAGCAGACCGCATATGACGCAGTCTACTTGCCGGATGTGACTTGACGAGTAAAATACAACAAAACTTTCCCGCTAACCTAACTTTTTTTCCTCTACTCGGTTTAAAGGAAAACTCGATAGCGCAAATGTATGATCCAATATTCGGTCTTTGTATGATTATTACGAAAATCGGTAGCGATTTTTAAATTATATATAATTTTTTTTCAAATAGGAAATACACACAAAAATCCTTCATATGACTTTCACTTCCTTCAAATGCATTCGTAACGTACATGAAAAACCTCACTTATTGTGGTCAGCATTGACGGGCGATGTACAAGGAGCAGGAACGTAATAAACCAATTTAACATATTCAAGCTACACTATTATCGAACTTTTCTAACTTATATATATATATGTATGTAAAATGTACAGAAAATAAATTTTCTTGAATTTCACGCGCCTCGTAAAAGGCAAAATTACAAAAATCATATATACCAGTTAGCTACTGTTTTATCTTATAGTTTTTCTTTCTTTTGTATGATAAAAAAATCAAAATTCAACAGATATGCTGTTACGTGCTCTCCATGACGATGCGAGATCAATACCTACTTGAGCTGCTATGCTACATTTTGAAAGATATGTTAACACATTGTCAGCGGTGTCTATAAGACTCTTACCTTTATTACGTATATATAAAATACATACAAAGAAATAATATAATATAACTAATGAATATAGCAAATTATTACCACACATATAAACGAAAACTGACAATAAATGAGATAAAAAATAAGAAACGTGTACATATATTTGCTTCAAATCATTGTTGTCTGCTTGATTAGATGTTAAAATTTCGTGAGTAATATCTTAAATCAATGCCGCCTACAGAAGTCATAGGAAATTGATGAAAATTTCTTGGTATAATAAAATTTCGTAAGCAATATCTTATCTCATTACATCCTAGAGAGGTCGTAGGAAATTGATAAAAACTTCTTTGGTGTACTTTATGACAGGACTGTCTGTCACTACATAGGATCTACTTTCAGAATTGACTTTTTCTTGGATTAATTTTTGCAACCATCTCCCAACTTGAACACCAGCTGGCAAACGCTTCTTTAATAATTCACATATATCTTTGTCTTTACGACATTGAAACTTAGTGTGTATTTATACAGATTATTATATGATGATGTGAGTAAAAAGAAAATTATTCGACATGTTTTTCCTTTTATATAATCCATTTATTCACTTAAGACATTTTCTACTCATAAATCACGTAATTATCTGATTAACATAATCAGCATTTAATTGAGTTATAATTACAATAGAAACATTTAAATGTCAATTTGTGTGAGTTGAGGTCATAAGTAAATATTTTCAACAAGAAAAAAAAAACAAAATTTATGTTGATTACAATTTCTATTATTTAAGATTTTAAGCACATAATGCAAATGAGAAAATTTTCATTTTTTCACATTTTCAAGTATTCATTATCCATCTGTATTGTGAATGTTCAAAGTTTGCTATATTTACAAAGTCGAGACATTTAATGAATTTCGTTACGTGTCTTATATCAGAATACTTTCGTGCACTACGCAGGAGTTAAATAAGAAATTACTTGAAAATGGAGAGGATTTGTTTCTTTTTTATTGCTTAGAGCACTCCTCAGCAGACTGCATTGTCTTTCATTTCAATTTGTATGAGTAACCTATAAACAAAAAAAGAACGGACTGTTCTAAGGCACGTTTCCAAAATTTATTAAATAGAAGAACTTGATCATCTCGTATTTTGCACATTTTCTATCCCATTAGACCTGCTATTAAGACGCCGGAAAAGAGTGTGCAGAGCAAGAGAGAAGTATGTTTAACTATTGAGTACCCTCTGAGAGATATGTTGGCATATTCGGCCGAATGCGGTTTCTAACTCACTCAAAATGGTGAATAATTTATGAAAAAGATGTGCACAAATATTCGATTGTTACTCCCTGCGCGGATATATGCAATGCTCAGAAGGCCTTGAGATGGATATATCTTTTATTATACGGATCGATTCAGAATCACTTTTCTGAGATTGTGTTCCAGCTGCAAGTTGCGATTTTTGAGATATATTGATGAAATCTGGTATAGCGAGGTACTTTGGCGCAAAGACGAACGCTATTAAAAAATTGTTCGGAACGCGGCACTTTTTTGACCACTTCCCATATAACGTCTTATTTTGATAAGTCTTTATGAGAAAGAAAAATTGGTTAGTAATAGTATTACGGCATTCTAAGTTGGTGTGTAAACTTTGGATTGCATGGACCAATTTCGTTCCGACGAAAACTGAATCTTGAAAAGGCCTAATTTTTAATACTTCTTGATAAAAATTCGTTCACATTTTTGTTTATATTTAATCCTTTGAGTCAACCAAATTGGATTTTTGTAATCATTCCCTATATATATCTATATATATATATATAAATATAACTAAATTTTAGCATAAGTGAATCTGTGTCCAAAACTAGACTTAGTATTCTTTGCATTATCTGTTACGTAAGCCTGAAAATTGATTGAAAGTAATGTTTTGAAGCCGCAATGCGAACGGAGAACAAATTGAAATTTAATGAGATTTACTGTCAAGAACATATTAAGAAAATTGCAAAGAAGAAGAACAACTTGTAGAATGTCTTTGAATTTTTCGTATGAGAGACCAGTGGCATCAGATTTGTCTTACCATTGAGCATGCAACATATAAAGATGATATGAGAGGAAAAAAGAATATGAAAGAATTTCTTATTCCTATCAGAAATTAAAAATAACAAAAACAAAAAAAAAAAATAATGCACGAAATGTTACCCGCATATTAAAATATCTCTAAAAATCTGAACAGTTGGCAAAGAACCATTATATTTGAAGTTTTCAAAAAATGTGGTAGTTATTCGGCGATTACTGAGCACGATTTGATTGATGTCAATAGGAATTATGCAGGTAGATGCATGTATATGAAGTGAAAAACGACCGCGGAACATGTTAAAATTCAGATGCTCAAAAGCGTAAATAGATTTGTTGAGCCGGTGTTATGCTCTAATGAGCTGGATAGCGTTTATAAATCCATGTCACTCTTTTGCTTTAATAATCAAGAAAGAGTAACATAGACCGAGAGAGAGAAGAAGAGAGAACGAGATAGAGAGAATGATGGGGAGACGTAGAGAGAGGAAGTCGCAATCAAAGAACAGGTTGCATACATACATACATATATATAGACAGAAAATAGGGGATTATTAGCATAAAGTATTCCTTGTAAAAAGAGCATAATATAAATAAGTTCTTATTAACGACAGGTGCAAGCGTTAACCTTAATAAAGTAACACAAAAAAAAAAAACTCTTTTTTTAACAACCAAATTTTCTTGATACTTCATAGTACATTCCTCTTTAAGATATTATCTGTACATATAAAGTCATATAGCCAAGATGTCGGTGCACTCAACTGCACAATGCTCGTCTCTAAATACTTATACCGGTTCTGAATATTGTTCTTATCAAAAAAAAAAAAAAAAAAAAAAAAAGAGAAAAAAGACAGTCAACCAAATAATCAAAAAGAAGAGTAACATTTGTTTTTTTTTACCATAAATTCATTTGTTTTCTCAAGAATTGTTTAAACAAAATAGAAGGCATTAGATTTTGACCAACAAATACATATATACTTACATGCAGACTATAAAGAAAATCATGCAAAATATGATATTAACTTTTCTTTAGCAATTTCCTGCACAGTAGTTATAGCTGGATTACCAAATGAAGTTGTTGCTCCGTAGTATGGGGAGTGTGATTGTGCTCTACGTACGTAATGGGTACTTAAACGGGACTCTTGCTTTTAATTAAAACTTTTTCTCGTTAAATTAATTCTTCATACATATTCCATATATATATATATACATATATATATATATATATATATATATGCAGCTAATAGAGATGATTATATAGACATGCAAACATTAACACATTCACGTGATATATCTTTAAAAATCCAACACGTTTCATTTAACTGTTTGTTTGTTTTTTTTTTTTTTTTTTTTTTATAAAAATTTTTTTTTTTTTATTTTGATTTTATTTTTTTTCTTTTTTCCTTTCCTTTTAACACATTCATGCACTCCTCAAACAGTGGCGGCTGTAAAAATTTCCCGTAATCATATATGTTCGCGAGGTTTACAAATCATTAGGAAAAAGAAAGATACACATATATAGAGAAATAAACACACTTGCTTTTTTTTTTTTTTGTTTTATTATTCAGACTATAAAGCTTGTTTCTATATGTATTTCTTAGATATTCGTTTTAAAGCGCGCGCACCGTATCTATCATCAGCTCACGTTAAGCACCAAAAAAAGACTAAAGACTGCGTTCGACTCTTTCATTCAGTTTCCTAGTTACACTTTGTTATTCACGTTTCTTCTGCCCTTGTCTTTGGATACCAATGCATGTACATGCATACATACAGCGATACATGTTCATGTAAAGCTACTGTTAATATTCTGTTAACTATTGTTAAGTGTACATTTTGCTTTTGAATTACATTAACGCAGAACAAGAATTTTCCTTAAAGACAAAAAAAAAAAATAATTTAAAAATATTTATTATTCGTAAGAGAGTAAAATTGGTTTTACGATTGATTTGGCTCTTTGTTTTTCGTTAAATATATTTCTCACATACTGATAATCGTAATACATAAGAATATAGAAGTAACAGACGCTAGATAAATTATTCCTAATCAGCGGAAAATGTAAATGCCGGCCGGACTATTGCTCAAAAATTTTTATGGAAAAGTGTACATTTGCACATAATTTTGTGGTTGAAAAATGTAAAGTAAAAAAAAAGAAGAAAATAACAAATAAAAGTTAAAAAAAACGTCAAGTCCAATTTTTTAATATCTACTACTAGCTCGGGTGTAGTGCCCCCTTCTTCGTTAAATATACTTTGCATTATATTATATATCGCATGTATTTCAAATATATATACAACGAGCAGCTATTATTTCCTCTTCTCCTTGTAAATGTACTCTCCTTAAGCTCTTTATGACACTAGGATATTCAATTCAACTTACTATGGAATCAATTTATATCCCCTGATAAATACTTGATATCGTAATAGTTGTATCAAAACGCGTGCAAATAATCGTCGTTTCACATTAATAAAGAAAGTAAATTTTTCGAAGTTTATGATGTGCATTTCAACGTTTTGCCTTTGACGAACCTAATATTCTAGGTTTTCAAATCTAGGCTACAAACAATTGGACGTACTATACACCAATAAAAAGTTACTGCTACTAACTGCTTAAGTAGGTTAGTAAAATTTTCTGTATAATAGTTGCTTGACCTGGTTAGTAAGAGTTTCTATATAATAGTTGCTTGACCTGGTTAGTGAGATAACATCATATTGTGGCAAAAAGTCGATGTCTTCTCGCCATACAATATTTACAATATTTTACTTCTCATGAGAGGTTTTATACGGGGAGTGGTCGGAAAGATAGACCTACGTACGCCAAGCTGGCCATTGTAACTCATTTCATCACAAAATAATAAAAGTTGGATCTTATTTTCTTAGCAACCTCTGTAGAGGACGAAAGTAAAAAATTGTTCCTTCTCATTCAAATTTTCTACGTTACATATTATGTGGGGTAAAATGGTAAGAACGATCAGATCCAATTCATATCTTTGGTTCAAAGTATGTCAAAGTACAAAAACTTCATCAAAAAAATCTGAAAAATTGCGTTTTAGTTTACAAAAGAGAAAAAACAGTTCCTACCACAAGTTGTAAGGGGTGCAATTGCGTCTAACAGTTACGTAAGCTCAATGGAAAACTTTCTACGTCAAACTAATGTTTAATAAAATTAATTTCATCTTTTATCCCATTTCAAAAACAACATAAAATCTGCTTTAAATCTGAAATACTCGGTCGGTTTAAATGAACATTTTTACTTTCAATCATATTTTGCGCATCTAAGTATTTTCGGATGGATGTAAATAAAGATTTTAAAACTAAATCAATGGATAAAAAACGCGAGCAAACTGTTCAAAGTATGCTGATCAACACTTAAATGGAAAATTGTGACACGGACCGTGTCCAGAGCAGAGAAATGTAATATAAATGCAAATTCCATGTAGCAATGGCCGACCTAACGTAATAAATGTAACATGTAAACAATAATTATTGTATATTATATGTCGACAGCCTAACGAATTTAAAGCGAACCATCAACATATAATAAAGAAGGAATTATAATAATAATCAAATAATGTGCGTATGTATATGAACATAGGCAATGAATGACTGGTTATAGAAAAGTATTTATAACAACACGATACGTAGTCTGCACATAGAAGCGGTTCTCAGCCGACTGCGTAAATCATAAACTTTACACAATTGCGTAATTTACATATATATTAAAATTGGAAATTTTATTCTTACTAGCAATTATACCCACTGCTAATTTGGTTGCTACATTGTTATAGCAACTCTCCCGATGACGTTTGCATAGACATTGTTAAACTGCGTGCAATAGCTCTGGAAATAGATACATACAAAAGCCATAAATTTTTGATACCGCACGAAAGTAATATTTTATTAGATCTATTTTTTACATCTGAAAATAATCTTTAGGAACTCCTTGCCTTAGTTGACTTGAGTAAAATTCTCAGTCGAAATAAAAGTTCAAGTCTTCTTGCCATTCACATTCACTATTTGATGATCGTCAGCCTAGTTTGAAAGGGTACCACTGTCCAAGCTGATCATTCACGACATGACCTGATACCACTGTTCATTTATTTCCGTAATAAAATGTTTTTTTCTTTTAACAAAATTAATTTTCTTATCAAAGATCTTATTATCGTTCATCCTTTTTCGGTGACATGATACGCAAATTTCGCTTCTGGTAGCCTTGTTGTTATGTAAATAATCCGTACCACAATCTAAAAAGTTTATTTTGTTTGCCCGGGTCCCTAACCCTCCGGTTTTAATCTTTTTATGAATTCCCCACTAGCTGTGGTTCGAAGCACCATGCGGCGACTGGCGTTTTGGCGTATTCATCAAATATCCTGATATCTAATTCTGCAGATGACCCCCGCATTCACATAGGATATGATGGAATATTTCACTTGTCCCTTGCCAAAATCTATTTAAATCGGTATCAGAGATTGAATGGATCCATGGATCTGTCTTAAATTCCTCTGAATGTTACATTCATACACACAAGATTAATAAGTCTTATGCCGGAGGTGGCATAAGATGCGGGAACGTAAAAAATTAGAACTTATTAATCACACCAATATCGATCTGATACTTATTACAAATATTTATAAAAATCATTCATAATTTCGCCAAAAGAATCGACTTGATCCGACTATGAAACAAGATGCAATGCAAAAGGCGGCGATCAACCGATACATAGGTTAGCGGATAGTCGCAAACCCAAAATTCTGCACAAGTGTGACCATGCTAAGTTTAACATGGGAGATACAAAAAATGTCATATGAAATTAAAGCAATTTTTTTTCAATAGGGAACCGGTATTCAAACAGGTAGACGGACGGATCTTCCTTGGGAAATATTCGGACGCTGCGATAAGCCTAACGGAAAATGTATAATTGTTGCTTGGCAAGAAATTGTTGCTTTGTAAGACAGGTAAAGACAAGCTCAATAGAAGAAGAAGAAGAAGAAGAAGAATACAATTCTTAGTGGATTTACATTAAAAATATTTAGCAGAATTCGTGTACTTCTTTTTCTTTAGGTAATTTAGAATGACAGACAATTTTTCAATCTGTTAACGCTAGCCATGGTCTGCAAAATAGCGAATCTTTTATTCGTTATTCATGGCTGAGACCGCCGGAGGCGCGGAAGGATGAATAATCGACTGTCGCCGATAGCTGTAATAGGTGTGTGGACGCGTGAAATGCACGTAGAGAATTTTGTATATATGTATATATAAAGAAATTTGATATAACATAATGTTAAATATTAACATTAATATGAGAGCATAATTCGTAACATTGAGAGAGAGAAGCAAAGATACTGTGCCTGAGTAGAGAATTACCGTTAATATGCATATTAAAAATTCTGCTTTAAAAGTATTGACAGATTTTAGAAACTGTTTACTCACGTCTAAGCTAATTGATGGAAATAAACAGAAGAAATAAAAAAACAAAAAAAAACAAAAAATTATTTTTAAAATGAATTAATGAAAGCCAAATATATACACATAAGTAGGCACATAGACAAATAAACAAAGTGAATACATAAATATATGTATTTAAGTGTAAGTAGATGATAATGTAAATATTATTATTATTATTATTATTATTATTATTCGTCCTCTTAAAGCGCATGCAATTAAAACTCAATATCAAAACTTACTTTGCTCTTAAGCGTAATGCTAGCCAAACATGTTATCAAGAATTATATTTTTTGCTATCATAATTAAATTTGTTTGCTTTGGGAATTCAACCCCAAGTAAAATCAATAACTTGTTAGCAAAAATTCTACACCTTTAATTGATTCATCTCTGCTATGACTTTACATGATTTTTTATATATGTGAATGTAAAGGGAGTCAATCACACATACATTTCTATCTAAAGTAAAGTGCATTTTTTCGTTTCAGTTGTTTTTTCATTCTTTTTAAATTGTCTGGAGCAGAGAGCTGAATTTTTACGGTAGTTGAGCAAATAATAAAATTTTATTTCCTTTTTTTTTTTTTAAAAGATTGCTTTCGCAAACAATTTAGTTCTAAAAGATCATCTTCGTTAAAAAAGAATTATGAGTTTCTTTTGCTATTAACGACTGAGTTAACTGTAAGGGCGCAAAAAACCTCTTGAAAGAAAACTAATTAATTAGTTGCACTTAAAGAAAACTAAAAATTAAACAATCATTTACGGTAACAATTGTAATAAATGTTTGAAACATGATTATGTAAAATGTTGTCCTATATAAGGAGGATCCTCAAAAAATCCATATTGCTCTTACTACGCTTTAAGGTAATTATATCGGGGTCAACGAATGCTCGGATCGTCTGAAAAATCTTAAAGATGAGAAGTTGCATGGAGCACTTAGTGAAGTCCTATTGGATACTTACAGAAAGAATGCGAACTTTAAACAATGTCAAATCAGAGATTTGCTAATGTTTACAAAAGTAAGGTGATAGAAACGAAAGATGTCGAACAGGATACTTCAACGTGATAAAAAACTGATCGAACTAAATCGTAAGTAAAGTTTCACTGTAAGAAAATGTGAATACGATTATCGTTCACATTACTTACTTTAATCATGTAAATGCTAATTGAAGTTCTCCGAGTATTTCAT